TTTATTTTCACAATATTATGACTTTATTCTCAAAATATTATTACTCTTTTCTCATAAAATTATGACTTTATTCTGGTAATATTATTTCTTTATTCTCGTAATATTACAACTTAATTCTCATAATCTTATGACTTTATTGTCGTAATATTATGACTTTATTTTTGTAATATTATGATATTATTCTCAATATATTATGACTTTATTCTCCTAATATTATGACTTTTTATTCTCGTAATACTATGACTTTATTAACATAATATGACTTTATTCTCAATATTTCAACTTTATTCTCATGATATTATGACTTTATTCTAGTGATATTATGGCTTTATTCTCATATTATGACTTTATTCTCGTAATATTATGACTTTATTCTCATAATATTATGACTTTATTTTGTAATATTATGACTTTATTTTTGCAATCTTATGACTATTTTCATAATCTTATGATTTTATTCTCATAATATTATGACTTTATTCTCATAATATTATGACTTTATTCTAATAATATTATGACTTTATTCTCATAAATTTATGACTTTATTATCTTAATATTATGATTTTTTTATTCTCGTAATACTATGACTTTGTTAACATAATATTATGACTTCACTCTCTTAATATTTCAACTTTATTAGTTCAACTTTATATGTTAAACTTTATGAATTTTTTGAGTTCTAGAATTGCGCTGCTCAAGGTGGCTGCATGTTTGAGCAGCTGTGTTACTTTCATTCAGAGATTTTGCTTTTGGAAACTTTAATTCCTCTTTTTTTTGGATGTAAATCACATTTTTTTAGATGATTGTTTCCTCTGTATCTTATGCTCTGCAGCTGGAAGGATTTTTACTAAAACTTTTTTAGTTTTGGACATTTGTAATGATGCGTAACCATGGCAACAAGGCAGTTTTCTACAACCAACAGCAGCTGATTAACATCTCAAAAGCTCAAATAATATCTCAACTACAGCCCCAAATCTCAAATGAGTTGAAAAGGATGTTCTGTGGACACATTCTCATCTACCTGCCAGTTGTGCTCGAGTGCCTGACCACTGAGATCCTGGAACTAGCAGGAAACACGGCTCATGACAGCGGAAGTACAGGATCGTCCCTCGGCACCTACAGTTGGATGTCCGCAGCGACGAGGAGCTCGGCATACTGCTGGGAGAAGTTCTACCCATCATTCGGGCTGTCCTACAGCCTGGGGGAACCGAGAGGCCAGCCGAGTCTGGGTGGACGGATCGGACGGCATTTGCAGCCAGTTTCTTAGGATCCACTGTGGGATGGACCTTTACAAGAGATCCTTCCTGCCTACAGCCATCAGTATCTGTAACGTCTCTTAATGAAATGAGGATAACGAGTTACAACAACAAAATAATTTCCCTTTGGGATTAATAAATTATTTTTGAATTTGAATTAAATTTATTCTCGTGATATTATGACTTTAGTCTAGTGATATTATGACTTTATTCTCCTAATATTATGACTTCATTTTTGTAATATTATGACTTTAGTCTCACAAAATTATGACTTTATTCTTGTAATTTTATGACTTTATTCTAGTGATATTATGACTTTATTCTAGTGATATTATGACTTTATTCTCATAATATTATGACTTTATTCTTGTAATATTGACTTTATTATCTTAATATTACAATTTTATTCTCCTTATACTATAACTTT